CCCCCCGCCCGCCCCTTAAAAAATGCAGCATTTCCTAAGTTTTCAATGCTCTGGCAGAAATTGAACCGAAGGCACTCCCGTGTTAGGTAAAGCAATATGTGAAATACCAGCGCTAAATAAAAAAAGCTGTAGGTGTACCAGACAGCTCCATGCTCATCCCAAGGGCCAAATCTTGCACTCTCCAAGGTCAAGAACTGGTTTGCCGGAGATCCCAACTGGAGCAGGCTCAGGCCCCAGGTTGGTTTACAATAAAGCTGATTAACCTCACAACTATTTTTACAAATGCTTCACGCAAACCGTATGAGGATGCAGAGAGCATCTCTGAACACAGTACTATCACGAGGGCAAAAAAGCTCCTGCAGGTCACAGCATCAGAACATGTCGCAAAGGCTTTGCTTTCTAAGCCTTGCACTTTGCAACACGGTAGTTTCACACAACACCCTCTGTTTAAGACTTCCTGATGTTGCAGCTCAGCTAAAAACGAACAAACCAACCCACAAATGTGAAGTTTCTAAACCATCTCTTGTGATGGATTAGTTTAGACTCAGCAGAGCGTCGATTCTCCTGAAAATAATCTGTGTGCTAGTGGCATGCTGGCTTCTGCTGACAGGGAAGCTTCAAAAGCTGATAGGAAAGTTTCTCCAAGGGGCAGCTCCTCCTTGGCCTCCTGTGGCTTGTGTTTGGCACACCTTTATTTTTCTTGTAACTCAGGGTTATCTCTGTCATACCTGCGATACGTATTTATATAAATACTCGGCAAAAAAAAAAAGAAGCCTATGAGATAAGCACCTAAATGCTCGCTAAGGGATGTGTCATAAGTCACAGTCGGGAAAACATTTCCATAATGACCAGTTTTAGTTCTCAACTGCAGTTTGCTTCTGCAATCCTAGCAAAGGCTGAGAAACATCTGACTGCAGACTTCCAAGACAGAACGAGACAGAAAGGCACCGACCAAAGCTTTTTATGCACATGAAAAGCTTTCACATGTCAATGTCTCCAACCTGATAAAGTGTTAGATTTTCGGGACATATATAAGTTCAGTAATTTGTTTACTTAACTAATTTATTCATAGCACACCGTATCTGACCATGACTGTAAATAGCTGCAGTCAACTGACAACCCAATTGTAAAAGAACATTCTGCTAAAACCTGCCCGCTGGTCACGTTCATTCTGCTGCAATAGCTCTGTGCTCTTTGGCCACAATAAAATGAATGGCTTTATAGTGTTGGAAAGCATTATTGTCGTTCTTCAGTATCACTGTGGATTTATCTCACAAGGAATGAAGGGTGAGATAAAAAGGCATCCAACAACACTTCAGTCTCCGAATTGAAGAGCCAGCAAAATGTTATGCAACTGGCATGGAAGAATAGCCATTCAAGGTTAGTTTGAAATGCAGACTGAAGGGAAAAAAAAAAAAGGAAAAAAAAAGAAGCAAGAGGTCCAGTAAGAATAAACAGTAGAAAAAGAAACTGAGCAAGTGATTCTTTGTTTCGGGCCAGTATACCCACCACCAGTTGCTGTACGTTGCTTTGGGAAACACGAAACTGGCACCAAAACACTCCAAACAACACAAAACCCCCACCCCCTTCCTAGGCTGATGGCTCTCCTTGAAATGTCCCTCAAATCTCCTTCCGTACTGTGGCTCGGATGCTGCTGAACATTCTGCCTATGGCCTCAAACAGCGGGTCGCAGAACGTGTGGATGCAGATCGAATAGACGCGGCTAATGCACTGGATCTCAATCAGGTAGCTCCTTATGCACGGCACCACCGCCCAGATGTGCAGGAATGACAAAATGGCGAAGTAGATGCCCCAGATGAGAGCCATAGGAATGCCAAAGATAGCTGACAGTAAGCGATAAAACCAGTATTTCGTTACAGTGAAGGTGGTAAAACTGGCCTTCCAAATCCCATCAAAGCTGTGTGTTCCCTCTGGCTCAGCAATCACATCTTCAAAATCAATCTGCAGCAAAGAACACAAAGTCAGGTCAGTCAGACGTTCTCATCAAGGGTGGATTCCAGAAACAGCTTTCCTGGAGAGCAATGCTCCCCTGCAACAAAATGCCGAAGCACGTATTTCCTACAACCCAACGTGATTCGATCCATTTTAATACATCATTTAAGCCATGAATCTTTTCAGGGACTATCTTTTTCCAGTAACTATCAGGGAGCCTCGATGATTAGCTCAAGATTAGACATCTAACTTCTAGATGGAGATGAACTGTTCACAATGTATTTTCCTGATCTCCTACAGCCCTAAGGGTATGGAGTGCCCTCGAAGTCTACTTAAGGGACAAACCAGGTGATCAGAATCATCATGCTTTCATTGCCTAACTTAACCATTTCACATCTTTACAAATGGAATAAACGCAGTCACTACTTTCACTTTTTACATACCTCAAGCACAGCACGCATCAATAAAATGTGTTTTATTCGTCTGAATTATCCCATCTTTCCTTGTCCAGCATTGCTGAATTTTGACAGTGAATAAATGGTGAGGCTAGCTATTTAATTATATACTTTGAAACAGGCATAGATAGTTGTTAGTAGACTGAAAAATAAAACGCTGGATTTAGGTCTGCGTCAGGCAGAGCTCCTCCTTAGTCTGAAAGGGTTAGGGAGCTCTTCCATCTCATTAAACATAAGGAGACTCTTCACATTAGAGCTGTTTTGTTCTACCCTATCCTGTTTATGTGGTAACACTCTGCTCATGAAAGACATGGCCAAGCTAACATATTAATATTTAGAAGGAACGCACTCTTCCACATATTTCATAGTTTTGACTATTCATAAATTGTTCAGAAAGTCACCTAAGGAAGCAGTGCATTCCAACAGGCATATTTTACCACTCTCTGTTGAAATACAGAGCTATTCAGGAAGCTTAATTGTCATAACATTTCTATCAGAAAATTAACAGAATTGCGATGATAGTTCAGCTCCATGTCACACAAATGTCTTTGATATAACCCACAGTACAGGATATTTGATTTAGTTAGCACAACCAATTGTATAGGTACTGCATTCAACAGGAAAGAGAACATCACAACACTATTCCTCTGCAAGAAACTAAGTGTCTGTTTAAATCAGATGAAAGAAAAAAAGAAATTGCATTCCTGGGACTGGATCCCAAAGCGAGATGATGATGCTGCCGTAAGTGAAGATTTACAGGAGCAGGGTAAGTATGATATGGGCCAGCGGCCTCAGAAACTCAGGCAACAATACCTTAGCATGCTGGAAGGATGTGAATATACATACAGTCAGTCAAAGTATTACTTATACTGTAGGAAAATGCTCACAATTCACTTCTTTTAATCTAAAATATACATAAACATTGGAAAGAACTCCTCCCTCTCTCCTGTTGAATCTTCAGTCACCTCCAAACAGAAGTTACCAACTCACTACAAAGGTAAAAATACTATAAAACCACTGGACTTTCCAGTTTCTTCAACAAAAAAAAGGTAATTCTGAAATTTCTGAATCAGCTGTGACATCAGGTATCTTGAATGCCTAACATTTTGCTGGCTTAATTCAACATATTGCTGGGCCTAAACGTCACTTTCTGACTGCTCTGTGCTGTGCCACCATCGCTCTCTGCCAGTGCTTCTCTCTAGACATCATATAACGCAAACTATAAACCACCTCCTCTTTATCTGCTACTCTGAACTAGGCTCTAGTGATCTGAAAGCGATCTATGATTCTTTGGGATGGGAATTCATCATCATCATCACCATCACATCTAAAGGTAGCGTTTGGATTGAAATTCTGTCTCCACAGAAACCAATGGCAGAATTTGCGTTGGCTGCATACCCAACAAACAAGCTGCGCGCTTGTCCACAAAGACGTGCAGAGCCAAAAGTCTGTCTGGACTTTCTGAAACTGAACAGCATAATTTTAAATAATAGCTACAAAAAGAGAAAATGAAAAGACAGTTTGAGTCACGGCTTTCTTCTGCAATAGTTCTACCGGTATGAAATAACCTCTGTTTCTGTAGGTTGTGCGCATTAAGTTTTGGTACAAATCTTAGAAAACAGTTTCCTTGAAATCAGTATCTAAAGACAGCATAGAAAGTACACTACATTCACTCCTGAGTTCACAGCAAATTAGAAATTATTTGGGCTCTGCAATTTCAGTGGGTGCAACATTGAAGCTCTTGTGGAAATAACTCTAATTCTGGGAAAGGCACCACAGGCAACAATATGCTCTCTATGTTCATTATGGGGTTATTAGATATAAAAGTTCATGTTTGGGGACTAAACAACTGACAAAAAATTAGCTTTATGAAGTACATTGGCCATAAAATAATTACATGAATCAGTCATTAGAAGTTAGCTGCACTCTAGTAAGACTTTTGTGGATGTACTGTGATCTTTCTACCAAATGAAGCAATCAGATGTCCTTGTATCAATCATGGCATTTTAGGACTGCCTCATGAAAGAAAGAAGAAGAGGTTGTAGATGTATATTGGGAAGTCAGTAATATCTCCTGATGATGGCATGTAATTGACATATCTATTCACACAAAAAAATATTAAGATTATTTCAAGATCTGCATATTGTTTACTGAAATCAATCTTATTCAACTGACTACACATGTTGGAAAAATGTAAGCCTGAGTTTACGGGGCAAGTATATTTTCTTTTTGGAATACACAAGCAAGCATGCTTATATTATGTGTTTCTGCAGCTACTCAAAAGCAAGCTTTTCCTTGTAGCCCATATCCCATGGTAGCTCATTTTCAAAGCGAATGGGTATTCTTGGCTTATTGTCAACATTTGCCTCGAAATCAGGTAATAAAGATATGCAGATGATGACAAAAACCAAAGTGATTACAGAAAAAAAAGTTGCTTCTCAAAAAACGATGCTACATGAAGACTACATGGTTGATCACAGCCCTCTTATTCTAAAACTTCTGGCAATTTATTGCATGCTTCCCACGAGTTGATGTTGTGATCCTTGGCAGAGCCAGTTTGTGCACACAGGCACCATACAGCAGTTCAGTGCATGAAAGACTATTCAGTGTCATGCCTAACATCTTTTTATTCAGTTCAGTTGTGGCGAAGTCTATCTTGTATTTTTTTCAATTGGCCGATAAGGGAAATATTAAATCTCAGCAGG